GCACGCGCCTTGAAAGTCCTTGAAAGTCCTTGAATCTCAAAATAAAAATTCAAGGCCTTGAAAGTCCTTGATAATTGTAGTCAGTGCTGGAAAGTCCTTGAAATTTGTAGCTAATTTAATCCAACTTAGATTCTAGAGTGCCTTATCTGAAAATATATGCAACTGGCACAAACGTAGCAACACATAATAGTAAGATACAAATAACAAACGATCGTAACGCCACTCCGCATGTCGATCAATCGCCCATATCCATTTGTCCTGTTCTTGGTTCTATTAATCACTCTGATTGGTTGAATGTCTCGAATGTCAAGGGCCAATCAAATGTTTTGTACTATTCCCTCTTTCTGAGAAAAGCCATGTGCTTTGAGTGCTTTCCTTGTTTGGGTTAGTGTTGATTGTTTGCGTTTTGTTTCACGAGTGAGAGATTTAAAACAATGGGCAAGTGTGTTTTCAGCAACTTGTGGCTTCAGAAATCACTGTATAAAGATTGGCTTCGAGAAGTCAAGGGATGACAAGCACAAGGCACGATGCATCGTGTGTATGAAGGATGTTGACATTTCGAGCATGGGAGAGTCAGCGCTCACAAGTCACTTGAAAGGAAAAAACATCAAACACTGACATCCCAGAAAAGGTCATTAGCAAGCGTTCCAGTTTTTTTTTTTTGGCGTTTCTTCTCAACAACCAGCAACTACAAGTGACGATGCCAAAGAAGTTTCAAAATCCGCTTCGTCTGAAAGTGGCGAACACAACACGCTCAACCCCACAAAGTCTAGTACTACGAGTTCATCTGGTTCATCGGTGAAGGAAAGAATTGTCACTCGTGATGAGACTTTGAAAGCAGAAATTTTGTGGGCATTGAAGGTGATAATGTCTCATTACTCCTATAAATCATGCGAAGGTACGAGCAAATTGTTTCAAGCGATGTTTCCTGACAGTCGGATCGCGAGTCAGTTTACATGCGGAGAAAAGAAATGTGCATACTTGGTCTGTTTTGGGCTCGCTCCACACTTCAAACAACTTTTGAAGGACGTTGTGAAAAAAGAAGAAGCTTATGTACTTATGTTTGACGAGAGCCTGAATAGCGTGTGCCAGTCAAAGCAAATGGATATTCACATTCGTTCATGGAATCATGACAAACACGAAGTTGAAAGTCGCTATTATACCTCAGTGTTTATGGGGCATGGAACAGCAGAGGACATGCTTTCTCATTTTCGTTCAGGCATAGAAGGAATTCCTCTCAAAAAAGTTTATCAGGTAGGATGCAACTCTCGTTATGTTTGGGTAATCCATGAAATTGTTTGCAAGATATGCTTCTTTGAAGTTGTATTATTTCTTACCCTCAATTATCGACATTTCGAAATAGGCAATAGCACAAACTTAGTCTTCACACAATTACCTAATTTCAATTATTCTTTGTCATATTGCCACTCTTTTGAAAGACCTATGTCTTGCCATTATTAAAAAGGTGTGATCAAATTGGAATCAATTATATTTTTTCATGACTGGCATTTAATTTCATCGTTCGCCGGCGAACGATAATTACAAGAAGTTGCGTTAAATTTTTTTTAACATGAAAATCTTTCAATGTCTGTTATTATTTTGCTGTAGAAGGGCGAAAGATGCAAGATTACTTAATCTAATTTATTGCATGTAATATAAATTGTGCGTTCACAATTTAGCCAATGTTCAAAAAGCGATCCAAAAATTGTAAAATTAAATAGAAATGAAAACACCTTACTTGGTTTTCTGCCCTTTAAGGTCTAAATAAATCAACACTCTTTCATTGCAAATCTTCACAATTCCAATGCATCCATGACTAGTTCACTTCGTGTCTAGGTGGACAATGACACGAACTCTGGGACGTAATGCAAGTACTAAATTAAATAATCTGTTTCCCTTTCAATATTACAAGGAATGTTTTCTCTCATACTAGTTGTCAATGGATGGACCCAACGTTAATTGGAAATTTTACAGTATGCTGACTGATGAGGCAAAAAGGGAGCATAATAGTCACATGCTGAACATTGGCAGCTGTGGTTTACACATTCTTCATGGAGCATTCAAGGATGGTGCTGTGGCATCAGGATGGCAGTTAGACAGGTTGTTCTCCAGCCTTCACTGCTTTTTTTCAGGACAGTCCGGCAAGGAGAGAGGACTACACCAAAGTAACAGGAAACTCACTGTTTGCTTTGAAGTTCTGCAAACATAGGTGGTTGGAGAATGTCTTGGTTGCAGAACGTACACAGAGTATGTGGGACAGTGTTGTCAAGTATGTTCAGAGTGCAAGGGCAGGAAAAGTTCCACAGCCACAGAATAAATCCTTTGAAACTGTACAAGAGTTTGTTGCAGATCCCTTTACGACTGCAAAAGTCGCTTTCTTCCTATCAGTAGCCAAGCAAGTGACACCGTTTTTGACACTCTATCAAACCGACAAGCCTATGCTTCCTTTCCTGGCTACAGACCTGTACAGCATGCTTGGGGGATTAATGAGAAGATTTATTAAGACCACTGTTATCAGTGAAGCCAAAACCCCATTGAAGCTTACAAAACTTGACCCTGCTGACTCCAGCATTCATGCCTCTCATTCCAAGATTGACCTGGGGTTTACAGCTGACAAGAAGATCAAGGAGTCGATTGCAAAGTCCACAGTTTCAGAGAAAAGAGTGCTTCAGTTTCAGATGGAATGCAAGGAGTTCCTTATGAAAGTAGTTTGCAAACTGATTGCCAAAGCACCAATTCAGTATTCCCTTGTAAGGAATATAAATTGCTTAGATCCAAGAAACATGATGAGTGACCATGATGTTTCCATCACAAAATTCAAGAGAGTTTTGACTACCCTTGAAAATGCCAAGAAAGTCCCGGAAGGTGAATGTGATTCCCTTTTGGAACTATTTAGACAATTCATTATGGAAGTCCCCCTCTTCTTCTCCGTCGGAGTTCAAAGACTATGATCCTAACAATGATAGACTTGATTCCTTTCTGTATCTTCACATGGGACAGAAGCGATCCTACCAATCATTGTGGAAAGTAGTCTCAGAGCTACTGATATTATCACATGGCCAGGCCAGTGTCGAAAGAGGATTCTCAGTCAATAAGCAACTGGAAGTCGAGAACCTCCAAGAGCGCTCCTTCATTGCTCAAAGGCTGGTACAAGACCATGTACAATCTGTGGGAGGTGTCCTTGCTGTTTCAATCAACAAACCACTTCTTTTGTCAGCTGCAGGAGCTAGGCAGAAGTATTTATCATATCTTGATGAACAAAAGAGGAAGAAAACCTCTGAGGGTGTAGAACTGAAGCGAAAGGAGCTAGTCGATGAACTTGACGAACTTAAAAAGAAAAGAAGGCGTTTAGACAGTGATGTTGACAATCTTGTTAAATCGGCAGACGAGTTTGCACAGAAAGCAGAGGACACTGGGAAACTTGTGTGGATTACAAAGTCAAATAGTTTGAGGAGAACTGCAAAAGAAAAGGAGATAGCTCGCAAAGACCTTGAGTGCAAAATTGCGAATGTTGTGGATGAACTAAAAAAGGCATAGACTTTTAGCTCGACTTAAGCTCGGCACAATCGCTACTATGATAAGGTGAACATTCTTTTATTTTGCAGTTGGTGGAGTCCTTGAAAAATAAAAAATATGTCCTTGAAAAGTCCTTGAAAAGTCCTTGAATTTTTAGTCCAAAAAAGGGTACGAACCCTGTTTAAAAACAGATGTAAGATTTGTTGTGGGAGCTTCCATTGTTGATGTACCGCCATCGAAAGAATTCCACAAACATTCCCCTCGGAAAAATTCCAAGTTCGTTAAACAAGTAAAACGACATAGAGACCGAGAGCCATCTAGAATACCTGTGAAAAAGGTCCTAAATTATATGAAAAAGAGAAAAGCTAGAAGCAAGCTAAAGTTTATTTTTAAGAAATGTACCCCTAAATCTTCAAGATTGTATGACTTGGTTACTCACTATAAATTGTGGTATATACGGTATTTACAAAAATGCAACGCTTTTATTACTTCCTTAGTCAATTTTAAAAGACTGGCAACAAAAAATTCAAAAAAAAGAAAGCTAACTAGTAGCTGTTGTTCAGGTAAAATTAAAAAATCAACTTGCCCGGCTAAAACATATTGCGTATCAAGGATGAATCTTTTGAGATCAGGTGACGTTGAATTAAATCCAGGTCCCGAACAGAATGTGAACAATCAGACCAATTTGTCAGTGGATTCCTCAACATTGCTTAACTTTCGATTAGGACAGTTAGGATTGATAGCTTTAGATGTGGGTGGTGCAGGTGGCTGCCTTTTTAAAGCCGTATCACATCAATTGTATGGTAATCCCAGTCATCACTTTCACATCAGACAAGCTGCTGTCCAATACCTCAGGGATAACCCTGAACGTTTCATTGAAAGCAACACTCAGAACTCATGGAATGGTTACTTGACAAATATGTCAATGCAAGGTACATGGTGTGATGCATTAATTGTACAAGCAGTTGCAGAATCACTTAACATACAAATTTATATTGTAGAATCTCACATAAATTTTGGACAGGCAACTTTAATAGAGCCACGCCATTCATCATCACAGCAACCAAGAACAATATATATAGGTCATGTAAACGAAGTGCATTATGTATCAACAATACCAAATAGCTCTTACTCAGGAAATGAGCACCCTTACAGAAGTCACAATAGTGATTTCAATTTTACAGAACAAAATGTTCTTCCTGAACAAGTACACAATAGTATTGGAAAAAGAAAACACAATAATTATTCCAATCTGAATGATGTTAGAATAACCACTAAGAGCAATGAAAAAAAAAGCAAATGGAATTCTTACATGAATTATTACAGAAATAACAGAAGGGCTGGTAAAAAGAATCAAAGCTGTGAACGTAACAGTGATAAACAAAGTTCACCCACTAAAGAGAATACAAATGCTGTATTTGTAAATAATGGTAGTCGAAAAAGAAAACACAATTATTCCCATCTGAACGATGTTAGGATAAGTACTAAGAACAGTGAAAACCATGAATGCAGATCCAAAACTCATGAACAAAAAAATAAATGGAATTCTTACATGAATTATTACAGAAATAACAGAAGGGCTGGTAAAATGAATCAAAGCTATGAATGTAACAGTGATAAACAAAGTTCACCCACTAAAGAGAATACAAATGCTGTACTAGTAAATAATGGAAGTTCAAAAAGAAAACACAATTCTGATGTAAACAATTTAAGAATAAGCACTAACAGTAGTGGAAATAATAAATGCAAATCCAAGACACAGGAGCAGAAAAAAAACTGGACTTCTTACATGAAACATTACAGAAATAACAAAAGGGCTACTAAAATGAATCAAAAGTATAAGTGTAACAACAAGAAGCAAACCTCAACCACTAAAGAAAATAATAATGCTGAAAGTCAAAAAGAAAAAAACGAAAAAATACAAAACATGGCTGCCTTAATAATGAGGTTTCATGACATTGTGTCACAGGTCCCCTTATATATTTGTAGTTGTTGTGATCAGCTGTGGTATAAACACAGTGTTTACCCAGCTACTAAAATAAGAAAATCAAACCCTGCTGCTGAAAAATATCTTTCAAAAAACAAAAAGTGTCAACAATAAAGAGTGGCTATGTAGAACTTGTCATAATTACTTAGCAAAGAATAAAGTTCCGCCCCTTGCCATATTGAATGGAATGAGTTTTCCAATAAAACCTGAATTTTTTGACCTCACTGAACTGGAATGAACTGATACTGTCAATATCTTACCAAGGTTACCCAATGGTGCTGGTACAATTAAAGTCAATTTAAAGAGAAAATTGCAATACAAAAGCTCAGCATTGTCTCTCAATATAAGGCCACATAAAGTTGTTCAAGCAGCCAATTGGCTAGTTAATAACAGCACTCTCTACAAACAGGAAGGAATAACTGTAAATCAAGACTGGGGAGTAAACAGTTTATTAGGTGAAACTAATCCTGAAAATCAAAATGAACAATCAGAAGAAATACAAAACACCAGTAGCTGCAATAAGCAAAGTAATATTAGTGGAAGTGATGTCACTGATAGTGATGATCAGTGGACTGAAGATGAGGCAGAAATACCTGCTGGTGTTACTGACACCATGTTGACGAACACAGAATTTGTTGAAGACAGTGAGCCTCAACATATATTAAATGTTGCACCAGGAGAAGGAACCAAACCCCTAAGTATATTCAGAGGTCAATATTCTGAAAAATTAGCATATCCTGGTATATAGCGACATCTGTAAATCTGAACTAAGACGTTCAGATAGGAGAGCTGCTATGTGTGTTGAAAACATATTCTTTAAAACAAAAAAACTTCAAATGAAAATTATGTTAGGGAAATCACAAGTTGCTCTTAGGAAGTGCAAAGGAAATAATAGATCTTTAAATGCAGGACAGTTGAAATGTGAAGGAGCAATAGAGCGCTTGATTCATCTTGATGAAGGATTCCAATTCTTGAGAGCATTAAGAGGTTCACCAGCATATTTTGAAAAGGCTAAGAAAGATTTGTTTGCAATGATTAGACAATTAGGACCATCTTCTATATTCTGTAGTTTTTCTTCAGCAGAAACACAATGGATACATTTCCTTCGAATACTTGGCCAGGTAGTTGATCACAAAGACTACACTACCAGTGAGCTTGAAAATATGACCTGGGATGAGAAATGCAGGCTTATTCAAAGTGACCCAGTGACATGTGCTAGACATTTTGATTATCAAATTAGTCAATTTCTCACGAACTTTCTTTTTGGTAAAGCTCAACCATTAGGAAAAATTTCTGACTGGTTTTACCAAGTAGAATACCAGCAGCGGGGCTCACCCCACATACACATGCTTATATGGCTTGAAGATGCACCAGTATTTGGAGTTGACGACGATGCTACCGTTACAGACTTTATTGATAAAATAATTAGTTGTCAGTGGCCAGTTGATAATACAGAATTACATAAACTATTGAACAGGCAAATCAAAGAATGAATGTCGATTTAACTATCCACAACCTCCTATGAGAGCAACTGAAATTCTCTACCCTTTAGAAGCAGACATGCCACAAAATAAAATAAAACAGCACAAAGACACTTGGAAAATAATCAACAAGCAATTAAATGATATGAAAGAAGGCGAACCTATAACATTTGAACAACTACTTGTCAAATTAAAAGTTACTGAAAATGAATATCGACTAGCTGTGAGGTCATCGTTAAATTCACCAACTGTGTTTTTAAAAAGAAAACCGAATGAGTTAAGAATAAACAACTATAATCCTGCTTCCCTTGAGGCGTGGAGAGCAAACATGGATATCCAGTTTGTACTTGATGTGTATGCATGTGCCATGTACATAGTTTCATATATTTCTAAAGCACAAAAAGGAATGAGTGAACTTTTACGACAAGCATGTGCTGAAGCCAGAAAAGGTAATTCTAGCATAAAGCAACAAGTCCGAGACATTGGAAACAAATTTTTAAACAGTGTCGAGATAAGTGCACAAGAAGCTGTTTACATTGTTTTACAGCTTCCTATGAAGAAGTCTTCTCGTCAAGTAATATTCATAAATACCACTCCTCCTAATGAAAGAGTTCAGCTTTTAAAATCAATAAATGACATTGAAGAAATGGATGATGCTTGTGAAGATGTATATACCAATGGTCTTTTGCAAAGATATGCAAAACGCCCTTTAAGCCTTGAATACTTAACATTGGCAGATTGGGCTGCATGGTATGACTCATGTGGAAAACCATATGCAAAAAAATCATTCGAAAGAGATTCTGATAACCTTCCATTAGAAACAGCTGATGATGAACAAAATGACGATGACCTTTTTGAGGATAATCTCATCAATCCCAAAAGTAACAAAAAAAGATCAAAGGCTAGAATTATAAGAAGTGTTTGGTATAACTGTGAAAAAGATCCAGAAAAACATCGTGAATTAATAATGCTGTTTACGTCATGGAGAAATGAGGACACTGATTTGTTAGCTAACTGTTCCTCCTACCAAGAACGTTTCATAGATGTAAAAGATAGTATAAATAAGCAAATGAAACTATATGCTGTTTGCAGTGAAGACTTAGACAAAATCCATGAACACTTGATTCATCTTGATGAAGACAATGATCATTTTGACTCAATAGCACCATTTACACAAAACAGAGAATACCAGGATGAGGCTGAGGGTCTTCAAGATTTGCATCCTGATCTCAATGAAAACTATGATTTATCAGAAGATGTTGGAATTCCTTCAGCAATAGAAACTAGTGAACCACTGATACTAAATGAATTACAAGACCAAGAGTACAGACAATTGGTGCAAACACTAAATCAAAAGCAAAAGGAATTTTTTTTATCATATCTTGCATATTGTTAAAACATCAGACAAACCATTCTACTATTTCCTCTCTGGAGGAACTGGAGTGGGCAAGTCCCATCTGGTCAAATGTCTATATCAAGCAGCACTAAAATATTACAACTCCAGAGCTGGTGAAGACTTCAATGATGTTAAAATACTGTTATTAGCACCAACTGGAAAAGCTGCTTTTGGCATACAAGGTAATACAATACACAGTACCTTGGCAATTCCAGCAAGCCAGTCACTAAAGATTTATAAACCTCTTGACTCAAGTAGACTTAACACTCTGAGATGTAAACTTCGTGCAGTGAAACTAATATTTTTGGATGAAATTTCAATGGTTGGCAATACTATGTTTAATGTACAAATAAATAACAGATTAAAAGATATTATGGGCAGCAAAAAGAACCATTTGGAGGTGTAAGCATGATAGCACTTGGTGATTTATTTCAGTTAGAACCTGTTATGGATGGTTATGTGTTTAAAGATATGAACAACTCAGAATATCGAGCTCTTGCTCCCAACTTGTGGCAAGAACTATATACAATGTTTGAATTAGAAGAAATTATGAGACAAAGAGAAAGCAAAGAATTTGCTCAATTTCTTAACAGGTTAAGAGAAGGTAATCACACTCCAGAAGACATTGCAAAACTTAAAGATAGATGCATTTCAGAAAATTGTACAAATTACCCTATCGATGTCCCCCATTTGTTCATACAGAATTCTAAAGTTGATGAGTTTAATAGGAGAGTTCACATGGCTGCAACTGGTGAAAAGTATACAATTAAAGCCTTAGATAGTGTTGTGGGTGCTAACTCTGCAGAACTAAGGGATAAGATCTTAAAGCAAGTACCACTTGATCCTAGAAAAACTAAGCAATTACCTTTAAACCTTCAACTTGCTGAAGGTGAAAGAACAGAAATCGCAGTGAATCTAAGGACTGATGATGGCATGACAAATGGTGCTGCTAATATTGTAAGGAAGATACAATTACATGACAAAAACAGACCTTCTGGAATAATATGGGTAGAATTTGACCAAGCACATGTAGGAGGAAAAACTAGACATGATTACAGGCACTTATTTGTACAAGGTATTGAACGCAAATGGACTCCTATCAAACCTATCACTGCACAATTTGCAGTTGGAAGAAACAGAACAGCTCAGGTTGTGAGAAAGCAATTTCCATTGAGACCTGCAGCTGCTAAAACCATTCACAGATCACAAGGTGACACTGAGACAAGAATAGCAGTTAACTTTAACACCAGGAGAGCAATACCTCACATTCATTATGTAGGATTAAGTAGAGTAACAACTATAGAAGGGCTTTACATAACTGACCTTTGAGAGAACAAAATAGCTGTAAATCATGATGTTAAAGCAGAAATGCAACGCTTACGGACAGAAAAGCATCTCCACTTTTCTTTAACTCCTATTTATGACATACATGAACCTACTGTTAAGTTATGCTTCCTTAATTCAAGATCATTGCATAAACATATAGAAGACATACGCAAAGATTTGAACTATTCACATACTGATGTCAGTATATTCTCAGAAACAAGGTTATATACTTTAGACAGCAATACTGCATACACAATTATTGGCTACAGTTTATTTAGAAATGACAGTCAATGCACAACATGTAATACCAGACCTTATGGTGGAACAGCTGTGTATAGTAAAATAAGTTTTATTCCTGGGTATCCCGTTTGCATGAACACAAATGGCGTAGAAATAACTATTGTAAAACTTGAAAAAATACCACAAATTACCATAATAGGTGTGTATCGGTCACCCAGAGTGCCTGTACGACAGATGTGTTTAGCATTAACAGAACTTCTGACTATGAACTGTTCCCAATTTAAACTATTTATGGGTGATTTTAGTGTGAACTGGTTAAATGAAAAAGAGAAACTTCCTCTTTATAATTTGTTCATTAGAGAAAACAGCTACAGGCAATTAATATCATGTTATACAACTGACAACAGAACCACCATAGACCACATTTATACTAATTTACCTGAATCACAGGTGAATTTGCACATTTTAGAAACATATTTTTCAGATCATAAAGCAATCTGTGCATTAATTCGAACATAATTGCTGCTGTAGACAGCCGTCAATATTCTTGAAGCCATCGATAAATTAACCGTAAAAGTGTCAAAGAAACTAGAAATATCGAAAATAAAACTCTTTTGTGTGGTGTAACTGAGCTTAAAAGAGGATTCTGTTGCTTAAATGTTTCAAAAGGAAGCTTTAATACCACATCTGTAAATGAGCTCCAAGTGTCGTAACTTGGCCGGGTAGGATTAGTTATTTGCTTTGTATTTTATAAACAAATAAAAGCATGAGTTGACATCTGTAAATGAGCTGCAATCGTCATAACTCCAGTAGGATTAGATATTCGCCTTGTATTTTATAAACAAATAATAGCACGTGTTGTACGTAGTATTAAAACATGCAACTAACAGCAGCACTCATTTCTCATTGAGAACCGCTACATGTAGTTTAAATTTTCTTGTGTTGTTTGAGGTTGCTGTCTAATTTTGGATAGTAACCCTGAACGCTCTCTTTTCCCCGCCATTTGATTAAAACTTACAAAGGCAAGTATTACTTTGCTTTAAACATTACATTACAACTTTACATGTACAACGCAAAAATACAATTTCTTTAATTAAAATATATTAAAATTTATTATCTTGCTACAAAGTATTCATTTTAAATCTCTTTCTCTCAACAGCTTTAACATGGACAAACCTTATGAACTAACAGGATATCTCCATGCTGTATCGCCAGTGAAGAAAAGCTCAAAATCAAGCTACTTTGAAATGTTACTTCAAACTGGCTCTGATAGTACCGTTAGAGCAATATGCTTTGCCACAAAAAAACACGATGACCTGAAAGCCAGAAGTTCAAAAAAGAGCCCTGTGAAGCTCAGCAACTTCCAAATGGATCTTAAATCAAATACAGTACTTATGGACAACAAAGTCCGAATTGACGCAACCAAGGTATCATTCGCACCAAAAGAAACACCACAAACAAATAACATAGCGTCACTCTCTGGTGTCCACTTCCAACAGCTGATAACAATTAAAGCGAAAGTTACAAAGATCAGTGGTAAAAAAAAAAAGTAACTACAGCGAATGGATGGAAAAATGTAAAGCTGAATGCTTCCTCAGCGATCCATCCGGAACAATACCATTAACTCTCTGGGAAGACAAAATAAATGAAGTCAGTGAAGGAAAAACTTATACATTCCATAACGTTAGAGTTATAAAAGAATACAAGTCTGACAAACTGGCCTTGGGCACAACGATGCATGACTGTACAGTGTCGGAAGCAGAGGACTTCATTGAATCCTTACCCCAGTCTGTTGAACTGCCTGATTCTTTTACAACCACAGAGGCCAAGGTTGAAGTCATTGGTCTGCTAACATTCGGAAAGTACCTTTCATGTTTACAGTGCCACAAAAAGGTAGCAGATGGATCTTTTACTGCCAAGATTATAAAATGTGGTAACTGTAATCTGACGCAAAAAAGAGATAAATGTATTACCAACTGTTTTGCACAAGTTAAAGTTTCACAAGATGACAACCAGTTCACTGTAACATTCTTCCAAGAACAAATTAAAAAAGTTTTTAATATCTCACAACGTCCACAAACACTGGATGAAGAAAAGATAACAGAAGCACTCTTAGATGCTCCAATCTTAAAAATAAAATATGACAATAAATCAAAGATCATAAACGAGGTATCTCCCTATATCATTTGAATAGCTGTTCATGTACTTCCCTCATCATTGGCAAAGGTTGAAAACAAAAACGTGGGAAGTGCAAACCTGTACAAACAAAATTACAAAGTTCTTTTATTAATGCCAGATTTACGCTCACATACAGCCTGTAAAACAGTATACACAGGCAGAAATGCTGTTATAGTTTATTCCTATTAAAATCATTGTGTAAATGATTTCGATGAAAAAGTAACAATATACAACATTGAATGAGTGGTTCAGTTGCTATTAATTAGATTACACTTTATTGCAATTTTTTGGCAATTTCGTTAACTTTGAGTAGTTCCGTTACAGATATTGCCCCTTAAACAGTTCTTGAAGTACCATTAAGTTTCGTTACAGTTCATTACAACATAAATATACCATGTGGAATTACTAATCTTTAACAAAATAAGTTGTGTTAATAAAAGCAATTGAATTACCACATTGTCTTTGCCACTGCGTTACGATTTTTTCCGGTACACTTATTTCCATACCTTTATATGTTACATGCAGTTCATTTTGAAAAATATTAATGCTAATATAGGTTGAAGAAAGATGGCGACTTACACGCGTTGGTATGCGCTGCTACTTTTCGCTCTTTTCACTCTTGGAGTATTCGGTCCTGGTCTCGCATACTTATCTCCCACCAAATATATATGTGCTGGACCTAAGGACATGGGTAATGTTTCTACCCAGCTTCAGTTCTTTGGTTCTTTGAGCTCATGTCTGCATCGTCAAAATTACATGCGAAGAAGCAAGAAGGCATACCCTCGGACGGCGTGCTTTGTACTATAGTAACAGTACTGCTACGACTCAGCTATTACTGTTGAAGCTATCTGGAAACGTGGAGTCTAATCCCGGCCCTCAGGGGCCTCAAGGAAGTTTTAATAATTCTTCTAAAACACTTTGTAGTAATTGCGCTAAAACCATGAGAAGGAACCAAAATGGCGTCCGCTGCTCGTCTTGCCCGGCAGTATTCCACATCAAATGTACGAAAATGGGCAAGAACGAGCTGTCCTGCTATCGGAGAGAAGGGATCTGGTATTGCTTTTCTTGTACGATGCCTCAGTTTTCTGACAGCTTCTTTGATGATCTCTCACCTTCGGCGGTATGCGATTCAAGCTCCACTGGCGAGGTCTTTGAGATTGCGGAGGAACATTCAGGAGACTCTGTTGACTGGTTTTTTAGGAACGTCAATGGTTACTACAAATCCAATCTGAAAATAGGTCATTTGAACATCAACTCTTTACAAAATAAGCTTGACGAGGTCAAGAATATTCTTAACAAGTGCCTATTTGACATTTTCTTTATTTCGGAGACAAAACTCGATGGTACAACCTCAGATAGTTTTCTCCAACAACCGGGATATCGCACTATTCGACGTGATCGCAAGAAAGGAGCTGGTGGCTTGATAGCTTTTGTACGGGAAGATATTCCTGTCTGTCGTCGACGTAATCTGGAGCCCGAATCAGTCGAATCATTATGTCTTGATGTCATGGATTCTAAAAAGGCTCGCTTTATTGTGTGTGCGTGCTACAGATCACCTAAATTCTGTAAAATTACTGATTTCTTGTCGTCGCTTACATCAGCTATTGAACTTATGTATACAAGCCGTCAGGAAATATTATTGATTGGTGATTTTAATATCGACTTGCTTGTTGGGGAGCACGGTGTTGTTGCTGAGGATAACTCACTCATGGACCTTTGTGATAGGTTCTGTTTGCAAAACCAAATTAATGAACCGACAAGGGTGACTAAAAAAACAAAGTCTTTACTCGATGTCATTCTCTCTAGCCATCCGGAACGATATGCAACTTGTGGTAATTTGCATATGGGTCTCAGTGATCACGATCTTATCTATGCGGTGCGAAAGAATAAATTACCTAGGGCTAAGGCACGTGAAATTGAATACAGAAGTATGCGACAATTCGACTTAGAAAAATTTTTAAATGACCTAAAAACTATTCCTGGAGTTCCGCTTACATTTACGACGACGTTGATGATCTATGGCACCATTGGGCTCAATTGTACACTGAAGTGTTGGACAAACACGCACCAATAAAGAAAAAACGGGTCAGAGGTGATCAATTGCCATGGATAATTCAACGCGAAATCTCGCGTCGTAATCGACTGTTTAAGAAACATGCAAAGAGCCCAACAACAACCTCTTGGGAGGAATTCAAGAAACAGAGAAACAAGGTCACATCCCTGAAACGAAAAGGGTTGAAGGCGTTCTGCATGGAGGCATCGTCAAACACTAAACATCATGGTGAGTTTTGGAATAAGTTAAGACCTTTGTTGCCAAGCAAAGAAAAGAAGCAATCAAAGATAATTCTGATTGAGAATGAGCGTGTAATTACCGATTCATTAATGGTGGCTGAAATGTTTAACAACTACTTTTGCGAGGTGTCCAGGAGTGATGGTGACAGTAAGGAAATGGTTGAGGTTGTTGATCATCCTAGCGTTAAAGTCATTGCTGAGAAAACTTGTGATGATGTTTTTGACCTCGTCCCAGTTGATGTTGGCTACATAAGGAAAATTTTGGATTCTCTTGACCCTTGCAAGGCTGTTGGGTGCGATAAGATATCTCAGAGGCTACTTCGTTTATCCTCACCTGTTATTGCCGAGCCGGTTACCCGATTAATCAATTATTTTATCACCAACCGTCAATGGCCAATAGTTTGGAAAAGCAGCGACGTTGTTCCTGTTTTCAAGAAGGAAAGTATGACAGATAAGACCTGCTATCGTCCAGTCTCTGTTCTGACTTCCTTATCGAAATTATATGAGAAGGTATTGTTCGATCAAATCTATGAAGCCTTTCATTGGCGACTCTCACCGAACCTGTCTGGCTTTCTCAAGGGTCACTCGTGTTGCACGGCCTTATTGAAATTGACTGAAGATTGGAGAGCCCGTCTTGACAGAAGAGAAGCTGTTGCAGTGGTGGCTATCGACCTAAGTAAAGCTTTTGACTCTGTTTGTCACCCGCTTCTCCTAGCTAAATTAAAGGCATATGGTTTTACGCATGATGCGCTGGAAACTATGACCGCTTACCTTACTGGACGAAGACAGAGAGTCAAACTTGACGGTGAATATTCTTCATGGAGAACCGTTAAAACTGGTGTACCACAGGGGTCCCTGTTGGGTCCTCTCCTATTTAATTTGTATGTTAATGATCTTAATTATTTTATTACTAGTACGTCCTTGAGGCTATATGCTGACGACACTACTCATTACGCCTCTGATGTCTCACCAACAGTATTGCAGTATATAATTAACTCTGATCTGAGCGTTCTATCGAGATGGTTCTCAATGAATTTTTACAGATTAATGCCTTAAAAAACGCAAGCTATCGCTATTGGCCCGTCTTCATACCAATATGATTTCCATCTTAATGATTCTAATGTCCATACAAAGGACACACTCAAAATCCTTGGAGTGGTCCTAGATAGCAAATTAACATTTAAAGCGCACATAAAGCAACAGCTGAATAAGGGATGCGCAAAGGCTTCGGCTTTATGGAGAATACGTAAGTTTATTTCAAAGGACGTGTTAGTTCGTTTATATAAGGCCTATGTCCTCCCTCATCTTGAGTACTGCAGTCCCCTTTTACTGGGAGTAGGTAACGCGGAGACTACAAAAATAGAGACAACTAATTACTTTATATTAAGAACTATATTAGGCTTCTCGAAGTCTGTGTCATACGACTTCCTCCTCAAGTTGGCCGACATTAAGTCTTTGGAGAATCGTAGGCAATTCAATCGTTGGTTATGTTATATAAGTGCTTGTATGATAAGGGGCTCCTTATATAAGTGATTTTTTCATTTTAGAAATGTACCGTATAGTTTACGCGGGCTCAGTACAAGGCTAGATTTACCTCCTTTTAATCTTGAGTTTTTACATCGGTCTTTTTCATTTTTAGCTAGTAAACTTTGGAATGCGCTACCCCCTAGACTCAGAGAATCTCAAGATATTGCTTCATTTAAGCATTCTCTTAAAGCCCACATGGCTTAATGGTAGTGATTGTAAATATCGTTATTGTTGTTAATATTGTTAATATTGTAACTTCTAATTGATAGCTCTTGTCCATGATTCTCGATCCTGTTTTTAGCTTTTTAATAGATTTACTTACTATTTGTATTCTTACAGAAATTATGCTTTATTTCTAATTGTACATACACGTACACGTTTTAACGAGAACTTCTGTACTCCTAGGTGTCACGTGTTTAAATAAAGGATTGATTGATTGATTAATGGACATACAACATAGTGAACACAAGGCAAAAAGAAAAAAAAAAAACACCCTAGTATAAAAGAAACAGAAGTACTACACTTGATTGCATAAAATAAAACTATCCGCTCCCAGGAAACACCTTGCACTACCAAATGTTAGTATAGTGGACCTTTTTTTAAAAAAATCACTGGAGTAACATATGCCACTGTTCTTTGTGAAAACGCCATCCTATTGCAGCAGACACAAGTACCCGTTGGGTACCTATTTTTAATTTTGGAGCCTGTGAGTAAGCTTTCTGAGGGGTGAAAGAGAAATAAAGAAATCTCTTTTCTTCCTCCCAACACCCCCCTTGCCCTCTCCCTTCTGAACAGAGGTTGCCCACAGGCTTACCAAAAATGAAAAATTATCCTACCTGAAGTTGTATAATAGTTGAATTCCCATTTTAAGTCAAATAAGACTGAGCCATCTCACTTCCCCCTCCGGATAAAAGGAATAACGAATGGAGCCTAAAAAACGCCTTCAAGCAGGCTAATTGTGGTAAAGTTAGGCATTGACATAATACAATTCCATTTTAAAATTTTAAACCATGCAGAAATGTAAAGCTCAAGTAAAGCAACACAGTCAACCAAGCTGCATATACATGACTTAAGAAAAGTACTCTTGCAATGAAGGTGTTCCTAAGTTGAAAAAAGTACTTGTGGATGTTGGATATACACACGTTCTAGCATTAGTTAACAGTGCACAAACAATATACATTTTCCCCACTGCACTTAACCCTATCTTTAAATTTTTCTTAAAATCAAGGAAACTAAAATAGTTGATTATGTCTCCGAAAACCCATTCAACACTTGATCTAACAGCGCTCATGGAAGTATTGAACTGCTGCTGTAGTAGTGTGAGATGCAAGCCTCTAAATGGTGTTTGTAGCTGAGGTCGCAACAGGTATCCTAGGTCACCATAAATGCATAAAGGATTTCTTAAAGGCGAGCGAGAGTGAAGCTGTAACTGTGGTAACAGGCCAGAATCAGCTAACATGCCACTATCGTGTCGCCTCCCCTCAACTGGACCGCACAAGTTAGCAATTAGTGGTTGCCCCTAATTAGTCCATTAGGGGCAACCACAGATTGGAACTTGATAGCATGAACCCTTTTGTGTCCATTGTATAAACTCCTCTGTAAATTTCAGGTCTACAAACCGGCCTGACTGTCCCGTCAACAAATCCCCAACAGTTTGTACAGGGAGCTCCAGCCTCATGAATGACATCAGCATAGGTTTGAAGATTGGCAGGGGAAAGCCAAGCTTGGTTACAGTTTCTCAAGCGATGACAGTGCTGATTGTATATGATATCCATCATTGCATTGCTGTAGCGAATAGGATATGCAAACCGTTTTAAAAGAACACACAGAGCCTCAATTCCATCGACAACAAGTCTGTTATAACAAACAACTTCATCAGGAACTTGTAGAAGATGAATATCATCCTTTAAGAAGCGAAACGGGTCGTACTGCCAGTAGGGGAAATCAGGGTTCTTCAAAGTATTTATATTGTAAAGAAGAATAAATTCTTCATCGTTTAGTAGGTTTTCTTCAAAGCCGAAAAGTAGACATTCTCTTACCCTTCGTAAGTTTGGCATTTTCGAATTATGTTCAGAGACCTTCTAAACAGCTTTTGGGAAAAATATTTTCATAATTTCCCGCCAAATCAGGTCTTTGTGCGACGCGCGCGACACTGCTTGCGTAAGTAGTACGAATGGCGACGACTGCCACGAGGACGTCAACTACCGAATACGAATTTCGACGACGTCCTCCTAAGTGACGTCGTCCTTGCGTAAGGTCTCTAATGTCTACTCCACATCGTGAGCTCACCGCGGCCGTGATTTCTGTAAACGTTTCTTCCATGCTCAGCAGGGAGCTCAAATACGAAGATCCAGTTCAAGTTTTCTAGACCGACTCCTCTGTTGTTCTTGGTTACATCTGTAACGAAGGAAAGCGTTTCCACACCTACGTCGGAAATCGCGTACACCACATCCGTGACAGATTAGAACTACAACAATCCCAGGTGGAAATCTTATTAAGATCTTGTAAGAATCTTATAAGATGGCAATTAAGATGAAGATCTTATTAAGTTCTTATTAAGAATTAATAATCTTACTAAGATCTTACCAAATTTCTTGAACAAATCTTAACCAAGTTTGAGCATTGTAAGATCTTAAAAGATCTTATTAACTATATTTAAGAATCTTGTAAGAATCTTAACAAAATTTTTACAACACATGAGAGTTAAGATCTTTGAAGGTTCTTAACAAGATCTTATCAAGTTTATATAAGAATCTTGTGAGGTTCCTAACAAGATCTTATTAAGTTCATGTACAATATCCATTGTAAGATCCAAGTGTAACATTTTTTCTATTATTCGTTCTTGCGTAATTTGTTTTTCCTTTGCGTACGCAAATTAGTTTATACTTCTTTTCGTCCATTTGTTTAGTCTTTTTTTTTTGGCGTTAATTTAGGTGTTTATTCCTTTCTGTCAGTTTTCGCGCCCTCGTTAGCGTTTCTTTGCTGTTTTATCTTCATTAGCGCCTTTCTAAGTTTCTATAGTTTTATTTTCCGCATGTTCTAGCGTATTTTTCATATCGTAGTTTTGCAGTACAGTTTGGGCAGTTCATTTTGGTCCGCGCTTAGCGCAGTTCTGTTTAGTTTCTTGCAAATCTCTTCGCGTTATTCGCAGTCCGCTTTTACAGCAGTTTTCTCTGGCCGAAACAATGTAAGTGTACTTCACAGTCCTCGTTTTGCAGTTTTGTTATTTCCTTACTCTAATTTACCTTAGTCGCAACTTGTAACTTTTTTGCTTTTTTACCGTTTTAGTTTCAACCCACGCTGTTTGTATGCACACTCTTAGTACCAAGCACGTCGGCTACAATAAATCTTCATTCGAACTTGGTTTGTGGTGTTGTTATTAAAGGCCAGGAGACTTACACGCTTATTGCAGTTTCATCCATTGAAGACTTCATCCCATTAACATCATTAGGGATAGTGGAATCAACACTCCTGAAGCTTGGATACCCATGATCAAACAACACAACAGCTGATTTATGAGGATCCATGAGGGAACACCATCTAACAACTGGAAAAATAATGAGGATCAAAATGCATCAATAACAGCATACCAACGTGCTACAAATAGCAACCCATAAACAATAACCTCATCAATTAATGAAGACTTGCAATGTTGTGGTCGAATGTCATGATCTACATCAAAAGTGACTTTGTCGTGAGACAAACGAACAAAGTTCATCTCCTATTATCCAGAATGATTCTGTTTTTTTCCACTTTGACCACCAAATCCTGAAAATTAGTTGCCAAATTGGCGACTAGAATGTTTCATCATGACTTTACTAAGAGATATAGTGAATTGAAAAGATTTGCAAAGATAAATCCGCGGCAAACTTCCTTGTAAAGTTTGTTTCCAAAATGCAGTACATGCATCTCGATCGACAACTAGACGCCATCTTGGATTAAGGTGAGCTTGAACGTTGTATACCATCCATCTTAGTGTCCACTTGTAGCACTTTAAAGATCTTTTCCTTAACTTAATTTTGGAGGGTCTATCTAGAACGCTGACAGCGTAAAAAAA